TTTTTTTTTTTTTTTTTTTTTTTGTGTGTACAGTTTTGCTATAAATACCTCAACAGCTTGGTAGTGCACATGACTGTGGGTGGCAGTCTTAAGAGAAGTCACTGGCTATATTTTGTCAGTTCTCATGCCATTATAGCAGTGTCTTAATGACAGGTTTTGTTGAGCTGTTTCTGCTTTCTTAATGGTAGTGTGCATTGTGATTAGGTGTTCTTCACGGTCAACAGCAAGTACATGCTGAAATGCTTTTCTAAGGTAGGTTGTATATAAGCTATATGGAACTGTAGAAACGCTAAGTAAAATATCAAGAGAAGTGCTGAACTACTTATTCCTCAGGAGGGAACCCGCAGCTCCATTTCTGTTATATAGGGACTAGTTCATGTATTTCAGCTTCCTTCTGGAAGCCTGGGCAACAGAACAGAAATGAATATAAAAATTTTGCGGGGCTGGTGAGAATCAAGTAAAGAACTTGACAGTAGTCCAGTATTTGGAGAACTGGTGGAGAATTTCTGTTTTCTGGTCACAGGTGGGCCACTTCTAATCCAATGACAAACATACACAAGTCAATGAACATGGGCCAGCTTTCAGCTCTTCTCAGTGTGTTAACATTGGGTTCATGCTTATAGTCTCCCTTTTATTGCAATGATGCTTGCATTCCTAATTGCACAGTAGCATAGCCCCAACAAGACTGCAGGAGAATGTTCCTGGCAGAGGGAGATACTCTCAGGAGACAGGAAAGTAGGCTCAAGACCATCAGGACAAGGAGAGTTGTGGACCCATTTTCCTTGGTAGCTCTTCTGCTTACCAAGTGATGTTGCAGATGAACAGCACCACCAGCAGTTAGAAAGCAAGCAGCTCAGACTGCACGGTGACCGCAGCCTTTCCACATGAAAGGTAAACTGAGTCAGGCTGCTAGATCTCAGGTGAGGTACCCAGCTGCTCAAGCTAAGGCATCTTTGGAAATGTGCAAAAACAGAACTCTATATGCCTAATAAAAATGTAGGTTAAGAGGAGGATAGTCATTGGCCAGTTCAGGGACTTCAAAGACTGTGCAATTACCAACCATGAGATTTTCTTTTTAGTACCAGTTTAGATAGCAGAGATTAAAATGTACATAGCTCTTTTTGGATGTGCCCAGTAAGCTCTCCAGGCAAGGACATTATCACATCCCCCAGAAGAAAAGGATACAAAAGCAGATCTGAGAAGTTACCATTAAGAAAGTAAGAAAACAAAGGAGTCTTCCCTTTCTAGGGAAAGGACTGGGAGTAGGTGTGGTGCAGAAATCTCAGAATGTGGTTCATCTCTCTGTCTCTCTTACCTTCTCCTGTTCTTTTCAGAGGCTTTTGCCACTTTTTGCAGTACCTATACTTGCAATTTTTTGTCATCTTTCTACATCTGATGAAGGTAAAGAGCTCTAGTGTGGCTAGAGGCTGATGCTGGTGTGTAGCTCCTAGAAATGAGCTTCATTTTCGTGCTCCTAGAACTGACATTGCAGTAGGCAGATCAGAGAGGGAAAGTGAATGTAAATGGGGGAGGTGGACGTGAGTTTTGCTTCTTTTGAAGTTGAGATTCTTCTGCTTTTCTTCTCATTTCTACAGCAGAAAGCATATTAATGATTCTTATCTACAAAATCAGCATATCTCTGCTGAAATATTATGCTTTGATAGTCATAGTACAACTTCCATACTTCTGCGGGTTTTCATTTTGGTTTAACATTTAAACACCTACTGAAAGGGGAAAGTGAGAGTAATAAAGGCACTGGCGAAGGCGTTACGAATTTCACTGTGGCTGCAAAATTACATTAAAGCAAGACTTTAGGTGTTTTCAAAGCAGGATTTCAAACTCCAAAACACTGCAGTGAATGAGAGCACAGTGAAACATTGCTGGTCTAACCAAATCCGAGGCGTATTGTATATATATGGTATTAAATCAGACAAGCAGCAGTATGCTTCACATAAAGACAAAAACAAAGGACCATTTTTAGGTTTCAATAATATGATTTGCTATCTTCAGCAAAATGTTTCCTTTTACTAAACATCTTCTTGATGGCTCCATGGTACGAGGTATTCTGAATAGTAAGTAGAATACTAGCCCCGTTATTTAGAAAACAGAGATGAAGAGAATCATGACAGAAATGGGACATCTGAGGATTGAACTTAATATTACCAAGACTCAGTCTGGGCTTGTAACAACAATATGCTTAGATTTTTGGGAAGTGCTGTTTGTTTTCTCAAGAGAAAACAGTTCTGGATTACTAAAAGCAAGGCTTTTTGTGGTGCCTGATGTCTGTTACTTGTGCTATTCTTGATTTTGGGTAGTATGGGTTTAATTCATGTTAAAATTCATCTGCAGTTTTGAAGAATGGCACTCAGGCACCCTGTCTATTTGTCCCATTAACAGATACAGAAGATGCTTAACCTTCAGTTCCTGCATTCCTTTTTAGAAGTGAGCCTTGATTATAAAGCCTTGTAGTCTTTGAACCTTCCTTGCTAGTGGTCAAGTGTGACGGCTGGAGGTTTTTATTTATCCCATCACAAATGAAATTCAGAGCTTAGCTTTCCTTAGTTGTTAGTGTGATTACACACCAGTCCCTATGTGGAAGTGCTTCTTCCATTAACTTTTGACCCCAAGCAATTAAATCGGTTCATAAAGTCCATTGTTTTATGTGATGTGTTCTTATCAATCATTGTTCCAGCAGAGAAATACCCTAAGTGCAATCAGTAAGAAAGGTTGTAAATCTCCTGTCAGCACTACTTCAATAAATACTGCAGTGATTATACACACCACCATTCCTATGCAGCTTTATCAGAAGTATTAGACAGAGGAAGTAATTTGATTGTGGCAGCTAATCTGCATGCTCATATTATACATCATGTAACTGTGAGAATGTGTATCCCAGGCTTCTGAATATACTGTTGGTACAACGTACACAGAAAGTGTTGAAGTGGTACAAGCTATCTGCAATATTACAAAACCAAGACCATATCAAAGCAATGGCTCTTTCTCATTTTAGGAAGTCCTGCGTGTCAGGGGAAGAGCACCACTAAGACCAGAAAAAGGTAGGTACTGGTTTATGAATAAGAAAGATTTTACTCCTATTTAACTTGTCTTTCTGAAGTAATGGAACTCTTTTATCTCTAGCTGCAATGGAGGCATTAGGAATGGATCTGTACAAAAGAAACAAACCTGAGAAGCAGCCATTCGCCCATCTCATTATTGATGATAAGAATATTCCATCTGGTAAGTTCAGTTTTAAGTAAATACTTCCAATGCTACCATAAATGTATTAAACGATGAAGTATATGAAAATAGTTCAGCAATACCTGCAACAAACTGGAATTTCAGAAATTATTGTTGATAATGAGAATAAATGTTAGAGTTCCAGAGGTAGCAGTGATAATGCTAACAGTAGAAGAGCTCCCCTTTGCCTCGGGTCTCTTATATCAGTCTCCTATGTGCTTAATGGCCTCCATTTTGAATTACCACTTTTCATGATCAAGCTCTGAGGGCTTGGCCTGCCTCTTTGTGCTGTCTTCAGGTGAGGAATAAAAGTATGTGTTGAATGTTTTTCTCTGAAATTTCTTATATTCTTTGGTTAGTAGGGGCCATCTGGAGTTCTTCACTAACACTGAACATCAACTATAGGTATACATACACACATACGTATGCATACATACACAGCACAAAGATTGGCCAGAATCCAGATCTTGCAGGCTGGAGGATGTTTCCTTTCCATTGACTCTAAGATGTTTTAGGTCTTGCTGTCAGATAAAGAAACGTGTTGCCTTCTGTTGTAAAATTCAAGGATGTCTTATGTCCACCTATTCAGTTCTTCATAGCAACCCTCTTTTTGTGTACTGAAGTGTAATCAGGTCTGTACTGAGTGATTTGTCTTCAGGGTGGATTTGGAAGTTCAGAATCTTAGATGAATGCACAACACACAGACATGTCAAGTGTCCATCAGTGGAAAAACTTGCCATAAAGGAAGCACATCTTTTATTTTGAGGTGTTAAAACCTAGAACTGCAGTCCCAATGTCATTATAATAACTTCCCTGCAAGTTCCCTGCCCTCCGTGGGTACATTGCACTCTCAGCATATGGCTGAATTTACAGCAAGTGTTTCCTTCTGTTTGTGGCATATTGAAAAGGTTTGTCATGTTCCATTTATTGTCACAGGGCCCGCATAGACTTTTTCCCATAAAGACTTCCAGTGCCTTCCTGATGTTCAGACACACCAGAGCTTCACAAGGGTCTGGCTGCATCCATCTAGTTCAGTAGCAGGAAGATCAAAGGTCATAACATTGTACTCTGAGCAACAGGATTTCTTGTTGGTGTGTTGACTTGGATGCAGTATGTTTCTGAGCTATTGAGTAGGGGGAAATATGTTCCTGTGGCTTTTACCTGCCCCTATGGTAAGAGGATGGCATTCTTTTATCTTGCCAGAGCTCGTATTCTCTACCCACAGGTATCTTTGCATGGCTTTGGGAATATCTTCGCTAGTACAATATGAGGGAATGAGACAAGAGTTTGCCTTAGAACACTCTCCAGAGGAAAAGATTCATTCCTACAATTTTGAGATATTTTAATACTGCTTCCTCCTTTGCCCTAAGGCACTGTCAGTAGAGATTTTTCTCTCTGTATTCTCAACACAACAATCATCATTGATGTGGTAGAAGTAAGCCAGATTTTTTTTCTGAAGCTATCAGACAGAGGATAAGAGGGGGCATTGATCACCACTGTCTTCCTCTGAAGCTGTATACATTCTGCAGAACTCCTTGCTAATTAAGGAGTGCATTGCTTTTCTGTTTTATATAACCAAACCGAAGGGGAATGCTGGGTTGAGGCTTGAAATCTGAGATTTCAGTAGTATGCACAGTAATACCTTGCTCTTGCACTATTTAAAGACAAACTATTTCTTCCCAGTTTCTTGTCTGGAGGGATAGGATCCTTTCTCTCTCTGAGCGTATTGCCATTGCTAAGACCCAGAGGTTTATAAGCAGAGAGCTTAAGCAGCTTGTCAGATGGCAGTCGGAACTTCTACAAGCTTTCCTATCAGCTCAAATACCTCCTGACCAGCTTCTATTTCAATCAGATTTTGGTTTTTGACATAGGTCAATAGTAGAAGATGCAGCATCAGTAAACTTGTCTTAGCATTTTGTCTTTGGAAGGATTCAATTAATTTCCTAATCATAGAGACGGATCACTTACATGTACAAAAGTGGAGTGTGCCAGTGTCACACTTCATGAAATTCACTTCATGAAATTCACATGAAATTCCTGTGGGGAATTTCATTGCTGTCTACCTGGATATTGCTGTAAGTTGTATTTTTATCAGGGATAGCAGCTGATAATTTTTACTGCTGTGTATAATTGCATTAACCTTCAAGGGAGTGATGTAGCACATCTGGGGGTAATGGCAAGAGAGACATTGCTCTTGGTCTCTTCACCTACTTTCTTTTTTTTGATAGCACAGGCTTCAGGAACTCTCAGATATACAGTGCCTGTGACAACAAGCTGCTTTGTTTCTCCTTGGAGCAGATCAACCCCTTACCAATGTGATGAGAAGACATACTTCCTACTGATCTGATATGGCTTCTACCTCTTTCAGAAGAGCATTGCTAGGATGTTACATGAGCACAGCTTCTGCAGTCCATATGGACACTGCAGCAGTGAGGGGCTGGATCCTTATGGATAGCTGGAACCCTGAACTTACTGGTCGTGAGGCACATTAGTATCATGCTCACTGGTATGAGGCAGTACCCACTTGAGTGTGTGGCATAGAGGTTAATGACTGGCATAAAGGATTTGCCTGAGGGTCACTGGGAGTTCTCTTTCATCCTGTTTCTTCTGACTGTAGTTTCTATGTTCTTCCCCTGATTCCTTAACCTACATGTCTGAAATCCTTCTAAACTGTTCTAGGCCATCTGTGAGTCTGGACAGATCTGTTCTTAGTATTTTAAAGGTTCTCTTCTATCATCACTCTGACCCAAAATAAACAATGTCAGGACAAAAAAATAATCATTCTTCATCACTGTCAAACAGGATTTTATTTTAAGTCTTTGCCACTGAATGCCCTTCTTGAGGGGGTACTGAGCAGTGTCTGTGAGGAAATATTTTCCTTTTACCTGGTTCACAATAACATCAAGCCCCAAATAGACTTCGGCAGCTGGGAGGGAGTGCAAGGGAGGGGAAAAATAAGCCTTCCCAGATCTTGGTGTCCCCACCCATCATTTGGCTGCAGAAGCCATAGTGGTTTGGCTTGCTGTGTGTATTTTTTAGGTTTGCTGTCTTAGGTTAAAGCTGGATGCTTGATGGTTGCATTTTACCAGAGCTCACTATAAATGCTACCTAGGTTTTAAATGAAAACAGTGAATTTTGGTTTATAAATTGATTACAGAAATTAGTCACAGTTTAAAGGAGAAAATCACAAACAAGTAAATGTGAAATATATCTTTGGGATGTGAATTGATACCTTTAGTTGTCTAAAGAAACACTGTGGTATTCAGAGCTATTTAGAGCTGCAGGTTCAGCTTAACTGCCCTTTGCCTCCAAAACAGTTTTTCAGAGCAAACAGTGTTTTGGTTCTTCCCTAAGGTTTTATTTATAACTGACAGCTATTGGGATGCAAACAAATTGTCAATATAGGGCTACTTTCTCCTCTGTTCCCCTCCCATCATTTTCCTTTTTACTAATGAATTTTATGGATGCTCATTTGTATTATTACTCTTAGTTCATGCTCACAAATATACAGGACATTGTTTTGATTTGTCTTCCGTTACCAGAAAGGCTGTGTATTATCTTGACCTTCTTAATAATGCTTTTTACCATACTTGGCAGGTTATTTTACTCATTGTTTGTCTGTCCTCTTCTTTCACTGTCAATGTGACTTACCTTATGCTTTTTTTTCACGGCTCCATGGTAAATTTTATCACAGAAGATACTGTATTGCAGCGTTTCTGACTGTCCCATGGCTTGGGTTATGTTTTAGTGTTTCTGATATATGGACAACTGATTTGGCATTTGTATGCTCTAGTTTTCTCCTCTGCCTTTGTTCTGGGGTACTGATTGTTTTGGTGCCTCTAAATTTAGGTGTATGACCACCAGAAGCACCGAGAGCCTGCTCACTCCTTCCATTGAAGGTTGCATGGCATAACTCCTACCAGAGCATCTTTGTGCTGTGCTGCTGGCTGTGGCATGCCCCTTCTGAAGCTCTGAATTGTGGTAAAATGCCCATCTGCCTCAGTTAATACAAACATAGCATTACAATTTATGTTGGAAGGCACTTCCAGAAGTTACCTAGGCTAAAACCAAATAGGTTCAGAACAGAGAGCATCATCTTCCATGATCTCTTGGCCTGTCCCTAACACCTAACCGTGAGTGAATGATGCATATTCCCCTCAACACCAAAGAAGTGTGAACAAAGTTCATGCAGAGTTCATCTCAGGATCTCAATTACAAGCAGCTGTGGTACCTATTTTCTCTCTTCCCCCTTCTTCAGCAGAGAATTGTATGTTCCCACTAAGGATTTCTTCAAAATTGCTACTCGATTAAGACTGGCAACTTAAAAGTTTAAATAAAATCTGCCTAGCAGCTACTAGGTGTGCCACCAGTCAGTCATAACATGTCAGCATACCTTTCTGTTCCATCATATGTATATACATCCCCATCCCATTTCTCTGATGTGCCCTTCCCCTGGTCCAAGCAGTGGTTTCTTGCCTATCCTCCTCATCTTGAAGGTAGCCCAACCTCCTTGGGGCAGTATTTCTGGCAAATTTAACACTGCACAAAAAGTTCTATAACTTACTCAGCTGTCCCCAGTGCATCAGAGGTGTACTCTGGCACCCCTAGCTCAGCATCTCTTGCAGATGAATAATTCCAGGCTAAGAGTCTTAAGATCTTAGTGTCAATTCCAATTAATTGGTGTTTTTTCAGAGGCTTTTTTGAGGCACTGCATGGAAGAAGGCTTGTATTATTTCCACCTGGCTCAACCGGAGCCATGAGGGAGTAACTATTTATCATTTGCCTTTGACAGCCTGTGCTTTGCTCAAGTCTTTGTGTAAGAATGCCAGCAGCATTTTGTTCTGGACTACTAAAGTATTCCTCTCACACGCAAAACTTGCTTGCCCTTGGTGGTTAGGGAAGGCTCGTAGCTCTGAAATTCCCTGTCTCTACTTTCCCTCACTTCTTTCTGCACAAACAAATCCAAGAGACATCTTTTTAACTAACCAAATATACCTGGGGCATTTCCTCAGCATGCTTGTGAGCACTGGTGGTTCTGGAGTATGCCTTGATACATACCTGGAGGAGAGAACACTGCTCCCTGACATGTGTCATGGAAAGTTTGGAGGGAAGAGACAGGTTTGGTTTGATGTTGGGGGAATAAAGTATTGAATATTCCAAGCAGGCATTTAGATGCACTGAGAGTCAGAAGTGTAAGGTCCTCCTGTGCCTTGTGGACAAATTGTTGTGGGAAGGAGCAAATGGAGTTAGTCTTCTGTACTGAAAATTGCCAGTGTTTAGGAGGACAAGTTGGCCAACTCTCATCTGTTGTGTTATGCCCCGTGTATTACACCAAACACATAGTAGAGTGTCGGTGGCTTGTGCCTATCAGGAAGAGTCAGGGCCTGCTTGGCTTTCTTAGGACAGTAGTGTTTCCTCTGCGTGAGCTTGCCATTGGGCCTTGCCTGAATCTTCTTCTCCCATTGTTGCTTATTCTGCTGGGAGGGTGGAAGGGACTGTGGGATGTGTGCTGCAGGGCATGCTTCTCAACAGAAAATACTGTGATAAACCTCTGCGTAATACATGTGCTGTAGTAGTAATGCTATATGGGCTGGTGTTGCAGGCTACTGCATAACACTGTGCCACCAAAAACAATCTGAAGTGTCAAATGTGACCAGATTTGGGAGGAAGATTCAAATGTTCTCTTCCACTGCCTATCTGGCTTGCTGCCATACCATCTCTTAGCACAGCCTCAATAGTAGAATCATAGAATGGTTTGGGTTGGAAAGGACCTTAAGATCATCTAGTTCCCCCCCCCTGCCATGGGCAGGGGTGCTTCATACTAGACCATGTTGCCCAAGGCTCTGTCCAACCTGGCCTTGAACTCTGCCAGGGATGGAGCATTTACTTCTTTGGGCAACCTGTTCCAGTGCCTCACCACCCTCACTGTAAAGAGCTTCTTCCTTCAATCCAGCCTGAACTTCCCCTGTTTAAGTTTGAACACATTACCCCTTGTCCTATTGCTACAGTCCCTGACGAAGAGTCCCTCTCCAGTAGGCCCCACTCAGGTGCTGGAAGGCTTCTATGAGGTCACCACGCAGCTTCTCCAGGCTGAGCAGTCCCAACTTTCTCAGCCTGTCTTCATATGAGAGGTGTTCCAGCCCCCTGATCATCCTTGTGGCCCTCCTCTGGACTTGCTCCAGAGCTTCATGTCCTTCTTATGTTGAGGACACCAGAACTGCATAGGATCTAATTGAAATGACATCTGAGACTTGACCATCCTGAAACCTCCAAAAGATGATACAAATGTGACTTACTGATGACAGTACCCAGGAGGTGCCTTTTGGGCCAGAGTTCCTGGTGGATATTTGTAACTCTGTGTGTGAAGTCAGCTTTCAGCTACAGTGATGAGCTGGCAAACTAATCAAAACATCTCCTGTCTCTCAGTTCCTTTTTGTTCTCTTCACAAAGCATTCAGTCACATTAACAGATAAGGAACAGCTTCCTGTTTACCAGGCTACCATCATGCAGGCAGAGCTGAAAAGGCTTAAGTATACCCATTAGAATGAATTCAGTAATGCTTGTTTGCATATGTTAATTCTATTAATCTACCTTTTTTGGTAGCCAGATTTGGTGACTGTTGCACATGTATTTTGATTCCCACACGTGTGATGTTCTATGGTGAGATAGAGAGAATATTATGATTTTCTTTACTAATTTGTGGATCTTTAGCTTAAGTCAACTTGAAGGGGACTGTTCTCCTCCAAGCATGCAATATCAGCTTATCATTTATAGTTTGAATTCTAAGATACTTTAAAATAAATAAAAATAAGAAAAGGAAAAAAATGCATCCAGAGTCACATGTGTCTTCCTAAAGCTCTTTTTCTAAGACCTACTACTAGATGTTAGGCAAAGAATCTGAGTTTAGCTCTCAAATAGCTATAATTGCCCAACTATTGTATTTGTACAAATATCAAAGAATTAGGATTGTGCTAATTGTGGAGCTTTTTTCTGGTATATGTAAGCACTAGGTTAAGACTAAATACTAGCTTTGCTTAAGAAGGTTTGTTATGTCTTAAATTCTTGAAGTGCTACTGAAGTCTAGGGAACTTATTGTGTAGTAGTAAAGATGCACAACTGTACTGATTTCTTTCCCCATTGTTTTTGGTGTTCTCAAATGAAAATACATTTACCTTTGTACCACCACAGTCACAATAACATAGAATACAGGAAGGTTTCATAAGTTTATGAAAATAATTATCAGTTCAACTTGGTTTCAGATTTTATTTAGTTACTCCTTGCAAACACTTAAAGGTTAAAGACTAATAATAAGATTTGCTGTTTTATCATGAGTAATTTTTCTTTTCAGACTCCTCTCAAGTATTTGTTGCTTAAAGTTTTAGGTGGAATGCAATTTCTATACAGAGCTTGTTGCATGATTGCTTAGCATAACTGAACTATTGGCCAAACAAGTGTTTTGTACAATGGTCCAGCAAATGTTCTGGTGGGAGGACAGAGTTATAAATAGCAAACCAAATGTGGCAGTACATGATGAAAAAAGGAAATTTATGAATTATCATAATTGTCTAATATTCACTTTAGCCTATGTAGCTGTAGTTGCTATTGATTCCAAAACCCCAGAGATTGCTTTCTGAAATGTTGGGGTTTGTTAAATGTTTATAAATAACTATTTTTTTTTTCCTCCCTTCTTTAGGAACTCGCAAAGTGAACCTCACATCCTGGCATCATGACAAAGGCCAGGCAAACTTATCAAATATGACATTCAAAGATGGAAAGCTGACTGTAAATCAAGATGGTTTTTACTACCTTTATGCCAACATTTGTTTTAGACATCATGAAACTTCAGGAAACCTGACTAAAAGAGGGCTCCAGCTGATGGTATATATGACAAAGACAAACCTTAAAATAAGGCGCTCTGATGTGTTGATGAAGGGAGGAAGCACCAAATACTGGTCAGGGAATTCAGAATTTCATTTTTATTCAGTAAATGTGGGAGGGTTTTTTAAATTAAAATCTGGTGAAATGATAAGTATCCAGGTATCAAATCCATTGCTACTGGATTCATCACAAGAAGCAACTTATTTTGGGGCATTTAAAGTTAGGGATTTAGATTAAATCTTTTTTCAGTGTGCTGAAAATTGAGTTTTTAGTTGTCCAGAAACAACTTGAAGACAGAACTGAAAATCTTTTGCAACTCAGTTGCATCTGTATAAGCCATATATCTCTAAAGACACATTTTGCCCTGTGCTGACTCCAGCAGGAGTCCCACAGATGCATAGAAGGACAAAATTACATAGTTCTCCTGATTCGGTCTTACAGTAGTTTTACTTCATATGTCGCCACTGGCTTTGGTAGAGTCATCATGACTTTTGCATTCATGTAGTTGAAATCAGAGCAACTAATATTATTGAACTTCTGCTTCCAGGTTCTGCCCTGACTCTTTAACCTGTGCAAAACAGGACAGGACAGAACTTGGCTCTCAACTTGCATTGGGGTTGAGCATTCTGACCCTGAAACGGCAAAGATTATGAAAGCGTGACTAATCCCATTGCATTTGATGTGGCTTTTCACATGCTTAGTTAAGCCTGTTCTTGCTTTGCTGGATTAGGGTTGGAGAGCTCAGGCTGTGGCAGAAATGAGTTGCAGAACACCTAAACAGTTCAGCTGAAGTCTTTACCTGATTAGAAGTTATAAAAGGTTAATTACAGGTCATTTTTATTATTGATGCACAGTTAATTGCTAATATAGATTGCCAAAATACAGTGTGCCTTTAAAGTATTACATTGTGCCAGAACCTGCAAAGACATTTTTTAGACAAAAAGTATGTATTTTTATATTCTGTAATATCTAAAGTTATATTTCAGGTGTAATGTTTTGTGTAAAAAAATATGTAAATTATATTGTCCTATAGTATTTGATACAAAATATTTAAAATCTCTTGCTGTTTGTATATTTAATGTTTTAAACTGTTTTTAATGTACAGACATGTTAAACTGGTGCACTTTTTAATCCCAATGGGAAAAATTGCAGCTAAAAGAGGTTGTTTGCAATTAGCAAATGTAATATATACCTTTGTTCTTTTTAACTTAATAGATTTCTGTTAAACTTGTCAGTATTACTGGGAGGGGGAGAATCACACCAATGTCATGAACAATTACACCAGAATGCTGGTCACTGGGTGTCTTTCAAACCTGGAGGGTAATTGACATAACAAAGCTGGCGTTGCCTACAAAAAAATAATTAGAAATTAAAACATATTAAGCCACATAAATGCATTGGGGGTATTTATAGTTACTGAACAGGCATATTTTCCTACAAGAAAATTTTCAAGTTGTAAATTCTGCAATTGAGTAATGACTTTTTTAGCTTAGTTTCCTGAAAAAGTGAACCTGATGTCATTGCTTTGCCTGTCCTTGTCTCCCCTTCTAGCTTCTAAAACTCTGCACGCCTTTGCCAGGTTTGGCAGGTGAACGGCAGCGTGAAGAGGTGTTCTTACAGGTTTTATGAGAACAGACAGCTGAGAACAACTCAGCCGTTACACATTATTTGTCAGTGGCTGGCCACTGTTCATATTAGCCAACAGATTAATAGGGGGAGACTCCTAGCTAGCTGCAACGCGTGGTGTCGCTTGTGTAGTTGCTTGGCCAAAAGAGGTAGGTGGACGGAATCTGAGGGTGGGTGTGGGGGGGACAGGAGAGAGCGGGAAATACTACAGGTGATGTTTAGAGCACATCTGGGCAGGGAACATTAACTTGATGGGGAGGGAATGGGGGAGACTTTAGAAGTGTTTGTGTGCTCTAAGGATGATGTGAGAATAACCCACTCTTTAATGTGGTAGGAATCACAGAAGGCAAAAGACTCAAATCTGTAGGAATTGAGGCTTCATACAAATCCTCAGGCTCTTTTTTATTTTGTTGTAGTAAGGAACTGAGTTGAATTCAAGCAATTATTTTATACTGTATAACAAACATTTCTTTTTAATGTTAATGTTGTTTTCTTACAAAATATATTTCTAAGAAAAAAAGAAAAAACAACAAACCCACCTTTGTGATTTCTTTATTTTCCCGTGTCCCTGTATTTCTTGTACAGTTTCTATCATTTTGTTCTGACTTCAGAACGTGCAGGCTGGGTATGGTATAACTCCCTCAAGAAAACTGAGGCACCAATTGACTGGTTTGAAATGATGGCAATGAATTTTAATTCGGCTCCAAATATGCGTCCACCACTTTCAAGTAGGGTTTAAATCATCAGGGGTTGGAAATTTAGCTGGAGGACTTTATGTTTTACACCAAACAGTTGTCATTCAAAACTGTAAAGGTCTGAAGAATCTGGGGTTTTGGAAATGTCAAGAGCTACAGGTCACACTTGGTTGTGTTTTTTCCACTACAGAGATGTCCAGTAGCAGGCTGTGAGAAAAATGTCAACTCTGTGTCTGTTCTGGGAGTTGAGTCACCCTCAGGGGAGGTAGAGATCGGGGTTCGAATGGTTTGAAAGTCAAGTTAGACTTGGCAGTTAGTAGTTGACCTTAGCAAATGCTCTGCCTAAGTATGGTGTTCTGTGAAGGAGGGGAGCCACTAGCACTAAATGTCTGCATAACCATGGCTGTGGGCTCTGCTGAGTGTGTGCTAGACGAGTTACAGCACTTGTAGTGTGTGCTGAACACCTGGGAAAGACACTTGTTGGTTACCTGGTCATTTGAAGCCATCAGAGACTAGAAGGCGGCTTCTGAGGCTTATCTTTGTACAGCTGTACTCATTAGGAATGCTTTGTGCATCTGAATTTCACAATGCACTTATAGGGCTTTAAATTTCCCCTGTGTGACGACTTTGAGGCGAAAATGATTTTGGGGTTGGGCTTGAGGAGTTTTGTTTGTGGGTTTTTTTTTTTTTTTTTTTTTTTTTTGTTTTTTCATCTAGTTCTTCCCGCCTGCCCTTACCATCCTCTGCATGCAAACTGACCAGTGATGTGATTAACTAGGTGGAAGGGATACGATAAAATAGTTCTCAAGGGGGTAAATAAGCTACCATGGGAATGTAATTAGAAGCAGAGCTCTGGCTATATCCGTTACAAATCAGGAAGCAGATAGGTCCTGTCCTGCCTGCCTCACTCTGGCCCTTGCCCCTTCTTACCCTCACAAGCATTTAAAAGGAAGCAGGAAGCTCTGTGTAGAGCTGTTAGTACAGTTTGATTTTGCTCTTGTTACTGGAGTCAGCCTAGGCACTTAGGCCAAGGTGATGAAGTAAAATCACCACCTTCCTTAAACCAAGTGATCTGTTCTTCTCTGTCTGCTTCACTTATTTGATTGCTTCATTGGGACACAATAAAAAGAGTAGACTAATCAATTAATGAAGAGAGTTACCTTGAGAAGAAGGTCATGCTTTTCTGGCTAAGAAAGATATGTGTGATTTCTATTTTATAATCTTCAAAAGATAATTTTGGGGTTTGGTTTGTGGATACACGATGATTATTTGCTGAAATTTGAAGTTAAAAAAAATCTTACTTAGAAATAGTTTATTTGGAATTCAGTGCATTTGCGTGCATGTAAACATCTGTATATTTGTACTGTGTTCTTGCTAAAAAAGTAGCTTTTCATACATGGGGTTATGATTGCATATTTTGGCACCTGGGTGCTCCTCTTCCACCCTGCCTTACCAAGCTCTTTCCAGCCAGTGAGTGTTTCTTTTTCTGTCTATCCCACTTCCTTTTCTCTGGCTCCTTCCAGCTGCCAGTGTCTCCTGACCACCCCACTCTCACTGACTTACAGCTCTTTTTCCTGGTGGTAGCAGCAGCCTTGGGGCAGATCTAAGCATACTTCTCCTTATTCGGCTCATTTTCAGGTGACTTTGCTGTGTCTTTGGGTGGAAAACAACAAGAATTGCGTTTTCAAAAAGATTTTTGAAGCATTGATGCCAGGGCTGAGCTGGATAGGAACAAAGAAAAGTAGTTGGGGAATAAGAAACCAGCAGATCGGAAACACAAAGCACTCACTTCTGCCCTTTGGTTTGAGGTACCAGCTTTGGAGGGCTTCAAACAATTATCACATGCTTCTACTTTTGCTGCTACAAAATCAGTTGCTAGCAAAACATCACAAACATAAACCATATGCAGCAGTTTGCTGCAGTGATTTGAGAAAACTCAGTCTAAACCAGAAATATACATTCTTATGTGTATACATTGGCAATTTCTTGCTCTTTCTCCCTCTTGTCTGGTATTTCCTGGTTGCTGGTATTTGGGATCACAACCTGTGGACTTTGCCAACTGTTGGGGTTTTTTGTGTTTAACTCACTGGGGTCTGACCTGTAGATCCCATACTTTTGCCTTTGTGACTAAATGCAAAGCAAAGCTCGGTCATGAAAAGCTGAGAAAACGAACAGCTTGAGGTTATTTATATCAGATTTCACAAATTTCTAGGCAACTTCAGATGTTGGGAGATTTTTCTGCTTTTTTTAGCCTTAAGTCTGAATGTGTTTGGGTTTTTAGCTGGGTTTCCAAGGAAATATTTGTGCTGGGGTGGTGGTGAGGGACTGAGTATCTCGTATATATTGCTCTGTTCACAATCCATTTGATGAAGTTTAGGGAGGGCCTGTTTTCATGCCATTTGTTCAGCATTTGAGCCATGTGCTCCCTGCCACCTGCGCTCTTGTGTGAGACATTACTTTTCCCCAGACCACACATCACCCAACTCCAATCAATTTATGCTTGTCTGTGGCAGAAGACAAGCAGGAACTCCAATTGCTTTCAGCTCCTTACATGCTGCAAGTCACAAAATGATAGATTAATTTTTCCAACCTTCTGGTTCTTGATTTACTCACTGTATGAGAGACTCCTGGTTGTTCCTTTAGGATGGCAGAAACCTTTGAATGCTGAGCTCACCTTTTAGATGCTATCATGTCTTTGTAATCATGATGTAGCTGCTGCTTCATCCTGTAGGTCCAAAATCTCTCAGTCCCTAAGTCTCCTACCAGGTGTGAATAAGTCAGTCTGGTGGGTGGTTTTGGGGACCCCAACTTCATAAGGAAAGGATTCCCCCTGTCTTCTTCCTAGCAGGTCATGGATTTTGGAGGACTGAACCATGACTGTTTGGGAAGTTCAAATACTCTCTCGTACACAATGTT